TTATGACTGTTCAAGACAGAGATTGGTACTGGAGAGCATATTTACCCAAGGGTGAAGATAGAGATCATCCAGCGTGCAATATATTCGGCCCCAGAGGTAGAAGCCTCGACGGACTTAACTTTCCGAAGAGCCTCGTGGTTGTGGTTGGGCTGGATCTTGTTCAGGACTGGCAATTGGCTTATGTCGAAGGGCTAAAAGAATCCGGCAAAGAAGTTAAACTTCTTTTTCTCGAACAGGCAACCATTGGTTTCTACTTCTTGCCAAATAACGACCATTTCCGTTGCCTCATGGACGAGATTCGAGAATTCATCCACTCTTAACTGTTAATACATTACTTAATTATAATTACAGGCAGCATATACAACAGAAGCTTTGACATTTTACTCCAATTATATTTAGCATTAATGATGTTTAGTTATATGATTGTGTAGATTTTACTTCTTTATCCTGTTATTAATTTGCCATTCATGGTGGTGATACGATATCATATCTTTCGTCTTCTTGAGTCGATAAGTCCAGTTCTCTTCGTGTTGAGATCATTGTTCCTTCTTCTTCTTCTTTGGTCCAGAAGTCGAACCATATCACAAGATCATTTATTGTGGTACCTCAGCGTCGTGACTTATATATGGATTTTGCACAACTACATATGAAGCTTACCATATCAGATTTCTTGTAATCTTGAACTGGTTTGTTTCCATCAGGCTACTGCTGCTATAAATGCCAATTTGAAACATGGATTAGGAAATCCATGATGTTGTGAACTTGTCTTCTATACTTGTGCTCTAGAAATGTATAATTTTTTTTGTTTATTTATGGTTTTGTTCTAGTTTTATGCTAATTTTTTTATGGTATTTGTTCTTGTGTCAATGCTGAAAAGAGAGTTGAAAATTGAAGATTTGTACTTCGTATACTTTGGACCACACCGTATAAGAGTTTAAGCTATATAAGATACAATAGAAACTCTAAAAAAAATTCTCGACGTGGACGTACTTTTATCATAAGTTTAATGTGTGGAATTTGACAGAGAATGGTAAAGGCAATTTCGATAGGTACATCTTGGAATCGACATGGATGACAAATTCCTCAAATTTACCACCATAAAAGCAACAATCACACATTCTGCTTCCTTTTCTCCAAAGTGGTGTTTTGATTGGTAGAAACTGAACAGTGCCGTGAAATGGTGGTGGACCATCGAACCCCATTCAAGGCCAAACCAAAAGAAAATCTTGCACAAGAAACATATGATTAGACACGAGTCCAAACAGATCTCACTATCTGTTGATGTTGATGTTGATTAGATTAATTCTTTGACAGCCATTGATTGATTGATTGTTTAATCTAGATGGTACATCATGTATGTTAGGGTTGGGGTGGTATGGTATGGTATGGTATGATATGGGATAAATGAATTAAACTGTTGGTACAATCATGCTTATAATTATAATTGACAATTTTTGGCGCAAAGTACAAGAGTGAGGTAGTTTCAATTGAACTAACGCCGTAATGTGAGGGTTCGATTCCTACCTCTTACAAAGTATGTAATTGAACTCTTTGTGGGCACCAGTATGATAGGTCGTGTACTCTGTCTCTTATATCTTTGTTTATAATGGCAATGAATAATTTTTTTTTTTCACGGGTGAATCAACTAGTTTTGAGAGCAAACTTGCCAGTTTTTGAATCATTTTTGACGAGTTCTAAATTTCCATATTTTACACAATGGTATCGATTTCCAATTTTTTTTCGTGCCAACTGGTTTGATCTAATACTCGACAATAATATTATACGTCAAATCACGTTAAATGATGCGCATCAAATGTACTTTAGTTTTATGATTGCAAAGCAAACTCATCTACTAGTGGTTGGCAATTTTGGATGTACATGTACTCAAAAGGGACCACTTTGAAAGAAAAAAAACCCTTTTAATTCTTGTTATTGGGATTGCTTTTCCAAAGTGTTTTAATGGTGTCACTAAATGGCAAAAACAGCTAAGTTTGGACTAAGTACATAAAATAAAACAAACGTTTCAATTGACTTTCTAGGCCTTTGCGTAGACTATGTTCTCACCAATGTAATTGATAATTTAATTAATTTTTTTTTTCCTAATTATAATAATTATCTCTTTGTCATGTCTTATTATGGTTTGTCTTTAATGGGATGAGCTGGTTTAGGGTTTGAGTGTGTGTTTTAGCACGACAAGATGAAGTCATTGTCATAATTAATGGTGTTTGCTTAAGACAATATTATGTTAAATAAGATTGTTTTGTCAGCATCTCACTTGCTAGGCATTAATCTCTATTGGTGGGACATTATGCGGCAACGTGTCTATTTCCCATCTTCATTCTTTATCAGCACACGTCTCTCTTAGTCTTATTATTCTAAATATTTTGAATAGAAAAATTATAAAATATCTGGTTTTGTATGTCTACAAGTGACCCCCAAATATAAAACTTGCTAGACCATAGTCAAATCGCAATTTCGAAATTACCTTTATAGTTAATAAAATTTACTTTCCCAAAAAAAAGTGAATCTTTAATTTACTTTTGACCAAATTAATGTTTTAACCTTGACAAACGTGTTCAATGCTTTCTTGATGTAGTGAGGAGACTTACGAATCAATGGGGGCGTAGGCTTCCCAAAAGGTAACGAAGGCGTGCAAAAGTTTCCTCGAGCAGGACGGAGATTGGCCATCGAGTGCAAAGGCAGAAGGGAGCTTGACTGCAAGACTTACTCATCGAGCATGGACGAAAGTCGACCTTAGTGAACCGACGGTGCCAAGTGGAAGGGCCGTCGCTAAAGACAAGAAATAAATCGTTACTTCATGATCTTCATTAGACATTGAAGAAACTGCAATTCCATTTTGAAGTGATGGACTTAGTCCGTTTGGTTTAACTAAAAAAGTTGATAAAATTTTAAATCAAAATTAGCAATTAATTTTAGAGCTTGTTTGGGAGGGATTAAAATCAGATTAAAATTGAAAATATAGTCGTTGGAGTGAACTTTTATTAGACAAGTGGCACCCAATAACGACTATATTTTCAATTTTAATTGGATTTTAATCATTCACAAACAAGCTCTTAATCACATTTCATTGGATTCATTAGACACATTTCACGGAATTCATTACGTTTATTAACTTTTCATCAACTTTTATCAAAATATGATAAGTTCTATTTTTTAGCTAAAACAAAAGAGGGATAAAATTTTAGGTTACGTTTGGATCATATTTATAAAATATTTATACATTCAATATTTTTTATCCACACATTTCACAGTATCTACAAATATTATTCACCTTTTCAACGCTCATTTTTTTTTCTATTTATAATTTAAAATGGGGGTAATTAGCACATTACGTCCCCACCTTTCCACTTTTCATTGAGCAAAATATCATTTTTATCCATTTTCTCAATTAAAAATTGTGAAATGATAAAAATATCTTTCCCTTTAAATAAAACAAAAGGAAAAAGAAAAAAAAACTAATTGCAAACATAGTTTCAATTTTTTTGAAAAGCGTAAATGAGTCCCAAAAAATTATTAAAATGGTAATTAGCACATAACATCCCTACCTTTCACTGTTATTGCGAAAAACATCCATACATTTTATTTTTTGGCATTTTCTTCTTTAATTATAATTTGATAGCGCAAACCATCATTTCTATCAATTTTCATCCAATTTCTCAATAAAAAATAGTGAGATGACGAATATACCCTCATATTTAAATAAAAAAACTAAAGAATTAATTGTAACTATTGTCCCAATTTTTTAAAAAAGTGCAAATGAGTCCCAATTAAATTTATTTAAAAATTTTAGCCGCTGTTTAAGCTACATTAAGATTTTTATTCTCATTCTTCTACTCATTTTCAACCACAAATTTTTCAATAAAATACTATTTTCTATCACATCAATTACTTTTCCTTCTATTTCAACCACACATTTTCCATCAAACTATTATTTCAAAATACATTCTTTCAAAATAATGTAGCTCAAAGACACCCTTAAAAAAATTAAAAAATTAAAAAATGCAAACGAGTCCCAAATACATTATTAAATAATTAAAAAATAAAAAAATATCTTTTATTTAAATATGAGGATATATTTATTATTTCACAGTTTTTTATTGAGAAATTGGACAAAAATGGATAGAAATAATGGTTTGCTCTATCAAATTATAATTAAGGGAGAAAATGCCAAAAAAATAAAAGGTATGGATGTTTTTGCAATAACAGTGAAAGGTAGGAACATTATGCGCTAATTACCATTTTAATAATTTATTTGGAACTCATTTGCGCTTTTAAAAAAAGTTGGGACTATGTTTGCAATTAATTTTTTTTCTTTTGTTTGATTTATAGGAAAATATATTTTGGCCATTTCACAATTTTAATTGAGAAAATGGATGAAAATGACCTTTTGCGCAAAGAAATGTGAAAATAAGGGTGAAAATGCCAAAAAATAAAATGTAGGGACGTTTTTCACAATAACAATGAAAGGTATGAACATTTTGTGCTAATTACCCTTTAAAATGGTTTGTAAATACTTTCTAAACATGTTTTAGTGTCAATCAAATAAATTTGCTGCTATTTTGTTTAATGGAATAATTACTCTTTAATTTGATTTCAATTGGAAAACTTTGTCCAATCAAAACATGAAACTGAATCGCCGGATTACTTCAATCAAGAAAGTGGAAATAAGGTACAGGGGAAACAAAGACCTTCAGAGCGAGCAATGTTAACAATGCTTTCTTACTGAGAACTATACCGTAATTTTTTCAGAGAATTATTACATCTATCATCAAAATTTACTTCGGGTTAACTGAGGTTTCAGTAACAGCAAAACAACGTTCTTGTTCTACTTTTCATGAAAAAACTATTCGTACATGTTTCCAGTCCAAAAATACAAAATCGACCAGCATCAGCAGTCCTCTTCTGAATATCAGTAATATTTCATCCACTTCATATGAGATGATAAAATCAAGGAAACGGCAGATGGTACCCGGTTGTTATCATGCGACATTCTCTTTTATGCTCTTTGTCAGCCAAATCGCAGTTTCTCTAGGAGAAACCTTTTCGGGTCCAAATGGCTTCAGCAGCACTGTAAGTTCATCAAAGCGTTCTTGCTGCAAGAGTTGCGCGCTGAACTCGAGCAATCCTTCTAAGGCGTTGGCACGCTGCAGGTACGACGAGGTGTCGAACTTGCGCTGCCGAGAATCTGAAGAAGAACGGATAGAACCACCACTTGTTGGGTTGTGCTCAGAACAAACGCTTCCATTTTGTGGAACCCCATAAGCAGGGCCAGCCCCGGCAGTGTGTGGCCCGACCAAAACTCTATCAAGTATCTGGACCGTACATTTGTCTTTTGTGATAGAACGATCACCACTGTATGGTGAGGTAGAAGAGAATTGAGCAGATGTTGACGAAGCTCGGCGGATAGGGAGTATAATTTCTTCAGACGAAGCCAAAGGAAACTCGACCATTTTGTCTATTAGAGGAGCGTTAACAGAGACATCTGGGGTCTCCACAATGCAAACGAAACCAGCTGTGTGTTTGTAAGGTCTCCCTGTTGACAATGGAAGTGATGCTCTGCGAGTTGATTGGGACGGTTTCCTAGCTGGAATACGTGACACTGGTAGCTGCATTTGCATGCAAAAGTAATGTTAGTCCGTACAATTTCAGCTTCAAAATATAAGGTCTATGATACATTATTTTCTCACTAGTTTCTATTGCTTTATCGAGGGTCCAGTATTAAAGGATAATAGTAATTGAATGAATTTGATATAACAAACCAATTCACGAGTTGAACCACAGTTGGATATCTTCGATGGAGTTATGTGCTTTCTTGGAGTGGCAGAAGCCTTTGCTGAATTCACTCTTGTACTTTTGACTGCAGTTGATAATTTAGTAGTTAATGACTTCTTCACACCAGTAAATTCATTGACACTAGCAATAGACGATTCTGAGAAACTTCGATTCAAATGGCTCGAAAAATTTCGAGCTCTAGGAGAGGAACATGGTGAGTCCAGTTCATTCCCTGATATACTAGGATTCAAGGCCCTATTGTTGCCAAATGCTCGCGTTTTCTCCTTTTTATCTCCATCAGTAAGCACGGGAACAGCTTTGGGCTCGATGAATCTTGTTTTCTTCACATTATTGGCATCGGATGATTGGGTGGGGAATGTATGGTGCCTAGGGATATTAGACTTAAGATGGATATTCAGGATGTGTGGTCGAAGATGCGGATGCTTGAGCAAATCTGCAGCCTGGAAGCAAAAAAATTAAGGTTTAAGATTTCTCAACCAGAAAGTATTTGCTAGAATGAATCTTGGGAATAAATTCTCAACTTTAAAGAATCCAAAGCTGATAAATTACTTGACGAATCTTAGGTTAAGCTTTCCAAAAAGTTCAAGTTACTTTTTGTTTTCATACACGTTAGGATAAAGTTACCTATTCTAAACGTAAATCTTAACTTGGTCTAAAATACATACCTTATTTTTAGCTCTGGCCAATAAAAAAGATTGTTTATTTGTAGACTTCTTATTTACTTACAAGTAAATTTACTTATGAGGAATCCTTTTGAGCTTAGCCAAACATGCAGCCATGTTCACAACTTACAATTGCGTAAGTGACAGATAAATATGATTAATTTGATCTAGCAATGTCCGCAAAATATAATTCTATATAATTAGACAAGAAATGCGTAGCTTAAGCCTTCCTTGTAGAATCAAGAATTTTTGAAATAATGGCAGTTCTATTGTGAGAAAAAGAAAGAGATAATGTACTTACACTTGGTCTATGTTCTGGATTTTTTCTCAGCATACTCTTGATGAGCCCCCGACTAGAAAAAAGATGTGAAAAAAACAGGTCAGATAATTTAAGGTCTTGTTTGATGTAGATTTTTTGAGAATAAATTTTGTGAAAAGTGATTTTTTGGATAATGTACGGTTAGAAAGTAAGTGTAAAATTGTTTTATTGAAAGAATGTGTGGTTGAAAATTAGTCACTAGAAAATGAGTTTTAAAAAATGAGCACTGAACATGGGCTAAATGGGGTACTTGTATCAATAAAGAACACAAAAGCACATGCTTTGTACACAATATTGGCCAACAAGACTTTAATTTCTTTTTCTTCCTTGATACTATTCTTTGCTCTCCAATTATCGCTACCAAACATGCCAATAGTGAAATGGATGAAAATTAATTGCAATCTTCAGTAGTGTGAACAAGATTATGAACTCACAATGCGCCAGAATACATAGTTGGCAGTGGAGACACTATTGATTTATTTATTTTGTTGATCAGACCTTGTATATCCTGCACGTGAAGCAAAGATTTGAAATTAGTAACAAGCAGTACTAAACAAGACAAACTACTAATCACTTGTATCTTGATACAAGAGACTTAACAGCTCGACTCAAACTGCTGGGATTTCCATGAGAAAAAGCAAACAGATAGTTTAGATCTTTGCATAGGTCTTATATAGCATGTGTTTGGGTTTCCTAATAAGCTACTTATAATACACTAAAAATGCAAAAATAATTGAGTCCTATGAAATGTGTGAATAATAAGTGTGTAGTAGTTGTGAATGTGTGGTTAAAATTTAAAGTTTGACTTTGACTAGAAATTATAAGGAACTTGTAAGGAAACCCAAATATAGGCTTAGTATGCGAAGATATAAAGCCTTCGAAATATGTATTACTATAGGAAAGCCTACTATAAGGTAAGATGCATTCTTCTGCACTAGTCAAAGAGTTCTCAAAATGTTTATAAGATAAACATTAATGTAAGACAAATATTTGCATCCATGTGCTAGAATGAAAACATTTAGACCTAAAAACTACATGCACATATACAAGCTTCTAATTGATAAAAGGTCTACTCGGACATATTTGTCTCCAACCTATTGTCTAAGTAGAAAGTTCGTCTCTCATCAACCTTTCATTCTAGTCGCACAATTAATCCTCAATGTGGAAACTATCTAAATCTGTGGTAATCATCAGTTGACCCTCGATTGTTTTCTAAAACTATATTTTGCTTCTCAACTTGGACCTCTGCCACAAAATTGAAGTGAGACATGTTTTAACGAGGGCCACGTGGCAATTTAATTGAGATTGACCAGAATCTGTCTAATTGTGCAACTAAAGTTAAAGATTGCGCATTAACTTGCTCCTTTTCAGAGGTTGGAACCAACTTGCTACTAGGGCAATAGGTTGGGGCCAATGCTGCAGTTTCCCTTGACAAAACTCTAACCTTAAGTTACAGATGACAAGCTAGACTTACAAAGGCTTTAAATGCAGGTTTATGAGCAGTCATTTCATATATACAGCAGCCTGGAGAAGACATGTCAAGATTATGTTAATATTTGGAAAAAGAAAGTAACCGAAGCTAGTTAGACGGATGAGGTCAAACTGTTACCCAAAGACCAGATATCTGATTTGGAGCCATAAGGTATATCGGCAAGAAGCTCCGGGCACATGTAACTTGGAGTACCCACCACCTACAAGCAGAGCAGATACGGAGGAAGTGATTAATTATACTAAGAAATACGAAAAATTAGGCCGTGCTATAGCCATTATACATACAGAGGAAGCAAGATCATCCGAAGTCAATATTTTTGCAAGACCAAAATCACCTGAAATTGATGTAACAATATAAGAAAATTGACAGAAAAGATGTGTGAACGTTTAGAATGAGTAATTAATGGATCAAACCTTGAGAAATTATGCAGGCATAACAAAATAAGTCATTTACCTAAACGTATATCTTGTTCTTTCGTCAGAAATATATTTGAACACTGAAGAAAATTCATAAAATAAGCAAATTAAGCCTTTTCACATATTAGCCGAAGAGCAACTGCTTATATTTCACAAATTGCAATAACAAAAAAAGACATGACAGACCTTGACATCACGATGAAGTATGTGGTGAGTGTGCAAGTAATCGAGTGCCATCAATAGTTGAACTAACCACTTACAAATCCTCTGCTCCTCCGTCGATATGTAAAAGGAAACAGACTAGAAATCAGGAAATTAAGTTCAAATAAAAGAGAAGTATAAATGGGAAAAGAGAGCACAAAAACTAGGTAATCGGACAACCTCCTCTGGGAAAAGAATGCCTTTTGCCTTTTTAATAGCCTCTGCCCTATTAAATAAAATGATCATACAAGAGAAAGATTAAAACAATAGAACATATTTAGGAAAAGCAGTATTATTAGGTCAGTTCAGAACATTCTTCCCCAGATAAAAATGACTGGATAAACTTCACAACTTAAAACAACATATACCAACGGATACAAAAATTATTTTCAATGGCAGGGAAAGCCTTTTTGGGGTCATCCTGGGGAAAGAAATGTGTGGTATGACTAATATTTCCAAGTAACAACATCTCAAGAAAACAGCTTACATATCGCCTCCTTCACAATACCCAATCACGATGCAGACATAACAACCCTGAAAGTAAGAGCACTCACTTATCAATGGCAGGATAAAACAAACTAAGTGTTCCTTACAAAATTTTCAGCAGTTACAATCAGTTTCCAATATCGAAAAATCATAAGGTTTCAACATGATAATCTCACTAAATATAATGGCCAAACACCTCCCAATGATCTTGATTAAAAGACAAATGAAAGTAAGAAAGTATTCTACCCTCACTTTATGATGAGATGATATCAATTCCCAGTCATAATGACTCTTACTAGATATGTACACACCTTTTCCACCCAGGAATCCTTGTATTCCACAATATATGGATTCCGCACTTTGGAGATAAGCTCCATCTGCATAAGGAAGGAAAAAAAATCAATGCTGAAAGAAGAATTATTCTATTTTCATCAGCTAAATCCACGACAATAATCTGTAAATAAGTAACCATTTGGTGAGACGGAAAATTGTTTCACCACATTTCACCAGAAACTTCCAAATTCTTTTTAACTCAATCAGCAACTAACATGATTTCCTATAAATGTGAACCTGAACTCACATTCACTCGCACGTAGCTAAATTACATTTAATCTCGAATAATGCTATGTGCTTATCACCGGTCTAGGTGTCCATTAAGTATCCTAAATGATTGTACATCTTTAATGAAGATATAAGTCATATTTAAGATGTCCAATCATTTAAGGACACTTAATGGACACACCTAGATTGGTGCTAAGCACCCGTGGGGTTGAATAGTATTGCTCTTTCATCTATGACGGCATCATAATTCTACTTCAAAGATTCCAAACAATTATACACTGTCGAGTTATAAATTTTAAGAGCTTCATCAACCTGCTCATTTGAATTATAACAAAAAAGGACAAATCGAGTACTCACCTCTTGATGTGCAGATCTGCGAGTTCTATCCGTCTGTCTAGCAAGGCGGATTTTCTTCAGAACATACCTAAGAGAAAAGAGGAAATTACTAATCAAGAATATACAAATTAATAATGGTCCCTAAACTAAGCTATCATTCCAGGAGCCATGATTCATGAAGTAAAAGACATAAATAACAGTGTAAAATAGAAAGGTTCCTTACTTCTTCTTTTCTTGTTTATGCCTCACGAGTAGCGCAGAACCAAAAGAACCTTTACCAATCTGCTCCAGTATCTCATAGTTCTCCATTTTATGCACTTTCGGCTGACCACCTAACTATATTGTATCCCCCAAGAAGCAAGAAAACAAAAGGAGCCCACTTGCAGATGCAAAAATCATGTCAAGATTATTTGCACATACAAATATCAAGGAGACAAGAAAAATGAGCCCAGTGACCAAAGTTAAAATTACAAATATTTCAGATTTCAATTCTCTTCTTCCAGAAAACCCAAAAAATTAAGACAGTACTAAGACTCTATCTCTTTCTTTATACCTCAAGTGCAACTTAACACCCAAACCCCCACCCCCATCACAAAAGAAAAGGAAAAAAAAAAACAAAAGGATGATCAATGACAAGCTAATTTACATGATTTGACATTCAAATTGGAATAAACACAAAATGATGGCTAAACAATGTAAGATGGTTCACAATTCAAGAAAAATAATGAACTAATGCAAAAACATACCGGGACTTGACGATCCGCGGATGAAGCACGGATCTTTCAGCTCCAGTGTAGGGAGGTAGATTTAGGAGCATGTGAAGATAGACATTATAGTACAAAACATTGTTTATTTTACAGAGAAAAATAAGTATTTAATGCCGTCTAATCTGCAAAAGGGAGTAAAAGGAGCGGAAGAAAGAAAACAAAAGTGCTGAGAAAAGGGAAATCGTAATAAAATCTGATAATTTCAGGAAAAAAAAAAGTGAAAACGGATAAAGTGCTATGATTTATGCACAAGAACAGAGAGTGTGTTTGTTTTTTCGTGTGGTGGTTGGTATAGTATAAGCATCAACTTATTCGTTTGCTGGTTCTTGAGATTCTGGAAAAGGACAGGAGACCTATGCAATGTTACTCTATGATTCTTGATTTCACTGTTGTGCTGAGAAATACATACATTATTGTTGACCGTTCTTCACAATAATTTTGAGGCATCATTGTTAGCTCTTTTTAGCATTGTCAAATTAATTTGGCACAAATATTTTTCCTTTATAAAAAACCATAAAAAGGATTGATTTTCAAAATATTTCGTACGTTATAACTTTATTTTCTCGAACAAATAATGAGGTAATGAAAATCACAAGCAAAGTTCGTAACATAGAATTTTCAGGGAAAAAATGAAAATTCTAAATAAGAATTCGAAGAAAAATAGTTATTGTTGTGACCTATCAAAATTGTAGTCGTAGAAGAAAGATCTTCGCACATTAATAAAACGGTCTCTTTCTTCGAAATTTAAATTAAAGTATTTCTCTCTTTTCCTTAGAACTTCTTTACTTTTTGGAACTTCGGCTGAAAAAGTTACTTTTGTTTAAATGTAACTATTTTTCTTTCCTTTTAAAAATAGTTATTTTGCTTTTTTTTTTTTTAATGTAGGGTAGCTTATTTCATGCTTATGAACTTGAGGGAAAATATTTATTTCATATATTTTATCTTTCTTGCTTATAAGCCACCCCACGCAATGTTGTTTTTAAAAGTAATTTTCGAGAAAGTAAGTTTTATTTATTAAATTAATATCTATAAAATCACGTTCAAAAAAGTAAATAAATTAGAAGTAAATATAACTTACCTATTAACATAGCCAAATATGTCATTATGCATCATTCGAGACGTAGAATGATTAAGGGTATAGATTTATTTTACAGAATACTTTACCGACGTTGACCTGATGAGCATTAGAGGAGGGTTGAGCTGGTGATCATTAAATGTAGGGATAAAACTACTTTGTCAAACAAATTTGATAGGAAGCTTGACATAATTACGTGTGACAGTAGATGATTCAATGGAAAAAATGAATATGTTTTATACTGTATAATGACAGAATGCCACGTGACTTTATATCAAGTTTTATGTCGACTTTGATGTTCATGTAGCATCATTGTAAATGTAATTATGTTGAAGGGAGCATGTTTGGTGCAAAGACTAAAATGTCTCAAATTTAATAATTTTTTTCTATATTTGTTTTTAAGTGTTGTCCAAAATATTTATATAATATTGACAATTATAATATCAAAAGTGTTTTCATTCGGTGTTGAATATTGGACCATTTACATTGTTGTCCTAATGTAGTAGTTTGATTGGTAGAAAGATAAAATTGCATCAAATTAATATAAAGTTTTCCCTATGATCAATTATCAGAGGCATCAGAGGCCATCTATTGAAGATTGTTAAGAGGTCTCCACCCTCCTCGTTAAGCATTCACCTTGAAATTGGAAAGATTGATTTCATTCTTCAAACAGTCATTTTCAACAAAAACGAATTCCAACTTTTACTCCTATTAAATTTGCTTAGTCTTAGCGGTTTCGATCTCATCCTGGAATCTTTTGGCCACAACCTAAAGCTTCTTGGGCTCCTCCTCTACCTTATTAGCTTTTTGAGGAACTTCATGTTCCTCCTCTGCAACTGTTACATTTTCATTTGGGCAGCAATAGTGACACATTGCCTAAGCTTAGAAGGTGATGCTCGCCTCCATCAGTTCTACTGAGTCACGGGATTTGACGTAAATGGCATATTGTTCGATCCAATGTTTATGGTAGACTCTAGAAGCCGCCTGGACCTCAGGATAGATCATGGCGAAGGCAGCTAGGTCGAGCTCTTCCTTGTGGCCCTTAAAAAATTATAGGCCTTATCATTAGAGCCTAGAGGGCCTCTCTTTGGCAATCTCCTTCCTCTTTCTCCTCTTAAAGGATTCATCAGGGACCTCGACTTCATCTTCCTTAACTTTGAAAGAGGTGACGAACTTATGAACTATTAGTTTCCGCATTAGGGTCACCTAGCGAATAGGAGCAGGATGATGGTCAAAAGACTTAGTAATCCCCATTTTTTTTTTCTTTTACCTCTTTGGCTAAGGCTCTGCCTTTTCTTTGCCTTCAGTCGAAGCAAGCAACAGTAGCTCATTAGCCTGACTTATTCTGGCAAATTTGTCTCATTGATGCTGGTAGGTAGAATGGATGTATTGAGGACTCGACCCTTCTGGTCGACTTTCCAAATAAAGAACATATCCAGCTTTGGATAGTCCTTACCATCATATTGTTCTGCGAAAATAGCAGAGGCACTAGTACTTAACATTTGAAGCAAAATTTTTAATGACGAGGCAATGTGAGAGGCAATTATCTTTCGAGCTATTAGATTGTACTCAACAAAAAGAGAACGCCAAGAAATCACATGCTAGAAGGAGCGCTCCTCTAATGGAAGCTCATATTAGGCTCGAATATTGGCCTACTCCGACGATCTAACTCGAACCGATTAAATGCAACTACAAAAAGAAGCAAATTAGAAAAATTCTTAGTATAAAAGCAAAGTACATACACATCGGAGAGCAGAAAGGTGGTATAGTTATCTCTTGGACTGCATCGCCCTCCACCATTTGTCACCTCTCCATGGCCTAAAACCAAGATAACTTTCACTCCCAATGGCAGTCGGTGTGTCCAAATAAAGGACGAATGCAGAACCCATGAGTTCATGCAGTACTAACCATTAAAAGTCTCACCCCCACCTGAAGCTCTTAGTTGGAAAATGGTCTCAAAAACATAGATCAACATCGCCAAGGGTAAATTCCTTCCAAAGGAAGAAGGCCTCTGCCAGTTGGCTCCCTAAGTTGGGTAATATTTTGGTGGGCTCTATGTTGTACTTCCTCAACGACCTGAAGAAGGGGTGTAGAGGTAGTACCATGCCACCAAAAAAGATGGCCTTGCTAACTGTTACGCCTTCCTAAGAAAACAGACTCTCTCGTCAAGATGAGTCAATAGGAATTCTATGGTATCATGTGCCATAAAAGTTTTCCTAATCTTATTTAATTGGGTTTCGATCATCCTAGATAGTACTCTAGCAGCCCCCACTTAATACTATACTCAATGTGCCTCTCTTGCATCATCCAAGAGCTATATGGCCCCTTATCACCTCACATATTCGCTCTGTTGGAATCATGTCATCCATTTATCTACTTTCCGTGAAGACTCCCAACACCATTTCTTAGAACTAGAGGCCATCTCAATGGCTTGAAGTTTTATTATTTAAGAACAAATGAAAATAGATTAGGAATGGAGTACAAAATAGAATAAGATTTTGTAGATGTGTTTGATTTTATTTTGCATGATAATTTATATTGTAACAAGAGTTGTTTTGAATATTTCTCTTACATCGTGCAATATGAAACTACTTTATTTTGTTCGATTTGAAAGAATGTTAATTTTTTTTTTTTAAATTAAAACAACATTATGTCATAAAATATTGTTATTTTTAGTTCTTTGTCACTAACTAGAATTGTTAATTTTTTAAAAAATGGTATGGTTCTGTGTGATAAAATTTATTCGTACAATCTTTTATTTTTCTCAATAATATTTTGTATTTTAGACTTATTTTAATCATATTCTATAATTTTTATTTTTGTTAAAGTGAAGGTCAAAACAACTACATTTAATGCTCGCTAGCTCAGTCTTTCACCATCTGTAAAGTTTTTTGTAAAGAAATCGATAAAAGTAGCTTAATCCAATAATCAACTAGATCTTGGCACGGGAGATTGTATCTCTAAATCATTTCTTTTTTTAAGATTTCTATAATGGAAAAAGGGTTTTTTTGTGTGTGTAAATAAACGTATCTTCAAGTATTTAGAAAAGAGTTTTCACTAATTACATCTCTTCTTTTTTTTAATAAAATGTTTGCCTTCAAAGTTTAAAACTAAGATATTATAAAAAATCACGTTAAGTGTGTATACTAGGTCGAGAACCAACTAATTATAATTAATTACTCAACCAGTAATGCTCACAACCTTCTTTATTTATTTATTCGACCACCAAGATAGTAATAATGATCATGCTACTTGTACAGAAAAATCATGCTCACAACATTCCCATTTGAACATTTTCTCAAGGCATTTTAAATTACGAAATCTTGAGATTCTCCACTATCTTGAGTGGATGACACTATTGACTATTGTTTGAGTCTATTTTAATTACTCATTAACCAAATAATACCTAGAATTTATTAAAAAATTATCATATTTACAGAATTTTTTTTCTTATTTCTCATATACAA